CAGTGTGGAGTGGAAAGTGTAGAGTGTGGAGTGTGAAGTAAGGAGTGTGGAGTGTAAAGTGTGGAGTGGAGTGTAAAGTGTAGAGTGTGGAGTGTAGAGTGTGGAGTGTGGAGTGTAGAGTGCAGAGTCTGGAGTGAGGAGTGTAAAGTGCAAAGTGTGGAGTGTGGAGTGTAAAGTGACGAGTGTGAAGTGTAGAGTGTAAAGTGTAGAGTGTAAAGTGTAGGGTGTGGAGTGTAGAGTGTAGCGTGTGGAGTTTGGAGTGGAAAGTGTAGAGTGTGGTGTGTAGAGTGTTGAGTGTAAAGTGTAGAGTGTGGAGTGTAAAGTGTGGAGTGTAAAGTGTGGAGTGAGGAGTGTAAAGTGTGGAGTGTAAAGTGTGGAGTGTTGAGTGGAAAGTGTGGAGTGTGAAGTGTGGAGTGTGAAGTGTGGAGTGTAAAGTGAGGAGTGTGGAGTGTGGAGTGTAAAGTGTGGAGTGTAAAGTGTGGAGTGAGGAGTGTAAAGTGTGGAGTGTAAAGTGTAGAGTGTGGTGTGTAGAGTGTGGAGTGTGGAGTGTAAAATGTAAAGTGTGGAGTGTAGAGTGTAAAGTGTAGAGTGTGGAGTGTGGAGTGTAGAGTGTAAAGTGTAGAGTGTAAAGTGTAGAGTGTGGAGTGTAAAGTGTAAAGTGACGAGTGTAAAGTGTGGAGTGTAAAGTGTGGAGTGTGTAAAGTGTGGAGTGTAAAGTGTGGAGTGTGGAGTGTGTGAGTGGAAAGTGTGGAGTGTGAAGTGTGGGTGTAAAGTAAGGAGTGTGTAGTGTAAAGTGTGGAGTGTGGAGTGTAAAGTGTAGAGTGTGGAGTGTGGAGTGTAAAGTGTGGAGTGTGGAGTGAGGAGTGTAAAGTGTAAAGTGTGAGAGAGTAAAGTGTGAGTGTGGAGTGGAAAGTCTCAGGTAAGGTGTGAGGAGTGTAAAGTGCAAAGTTTAAAGTGTGGAGTTTAAAGTGTGAGTGTGGAGTCTAAAGTGTAAATTGTGGAGTGCGGAGTGTAAAGTGTAGAGTGTGGAGTGCGGAGCTTCCCCCATAGACTCGGCGACGCCACAGGAAAACCAGAGACTCGAGACGAGACACGTGGATGCAGAAAAACCAGCATTTCGTGCGAGACATCCTCCAATTTTGATATTTTCCACACGTTATCAAACAGGTTGGAATGTCACAAAGTGCCACGCCTGCCACGCAAAACGACATGACAACCTGCTTGGAAACATTCGAAAAGGACAGGTTTGCCAGCTTCCCCCATAGACACGGCGACGCCACAGGAAAACCAGCGACTCGAGACAAGACACGTGGATGCAGAAAAACCAGCATTTCGTACGAGACTTCCTCCAATTTTCACAGTTGGCAACATGACAAAAGGACAAGTTTTGCAGCTTCCCCCATAGACACGGCGAGGCCACGGGAAGACCAGAGACTCGAGACGAGACAGGTGGGAGCACCAAAACGAGCATTTCGTGCGAGACGTCCTCGAATTTTCACACTTTGTAGCTTCAAAATCGATGTTTTTCTACGAGTTTTCCTTAGAACCTGAAAATTTATGAAAATTTGCAACCTCAAAATCGATGTTTCGTGCGAGGCTTCCGTCAATTTTCAGCACATCGCACAAAATGCCACGCCTGCCACGGAATTTGCACCTTGTCGCCACTTGACGCAGCCCTGCCAATGCGATTTACAAAAAACACGCAACATGACACGTCTAAAGTGCTACGCCTGCCACGAAAAATGACGATGGACACGTCGAAAGTGCTGCGCTTGCCACGAAAACTGGAACACATCTTGTGAAAACGTCGCAAAAGTATTGCGCCTGTCACACAAAACGACTTTCGGTACGTTACAAAACACCTCTGAATGTCACGAAGTGCCACGCCTGCCACGCGAAACGAAGCAACCAGACGTCTGAAACCTCCAAAAAGGACCGCCTCTGCAAAACTTCCCATAGGCACGGCCATACGGTCCTCACACGAACGGTTGCGGACGGTTGCGGACGCGGACGCAACGTCGAGCGAACACACCCTCAACCCCCAGACCCCCAGAGTGAAACGGGAACCCTTGCTCCGCATTCGGGAAAAAAAATAATATACTCTTTTTACATAGGGAAAACATGCTTTTTTCCCCTCAATTGTGGGACTGCCTCTCTGGCTGGCTGGAACTCATAAGGATAATTAGGATAATTAGCCTTTCAAAGGCTCTAATTACCTGAAATCTGGGACTTGCCCAAATGAACCCTGTTTTTCCATCATATGGGTACCCCCCCCTTTCATACAATATATTCACATGCTCTGGGGTGTGTTGGCATGCGTTGCCATTCTCCCTACTACTGGATACTATTGGAACATATTGGAACCACCTGGAACCTATACGACCAGTCGGAGGATAATGAGGACTGTGGGCTGGTGAAGAAAAGTGAATCTCTGCAGTTCCTTTCGGCAAGGTCAGTACCCTGTGAGTAAGACTGTTGAAAGCATCTGACACCATAAGACTTTGGATCTCAATGTTTGATAAAAAACAAAAGTTGAAAGAACTATACGGAATGGGCAGGGTTGGATTAGATCAACACACTTCTACCATCTTCAACCCAAGGCTCAACCTAAAAAAACATCCTTTCCGTACCGTACAATCCTTAAAAAATGTTGGAAAAAGGCACCCTAACAATAGATAAGAATCAGCAACAACTACTGCATACTATTGCATTTAATACATTTAGGCTTCTCAAGACAACCTTCATGTATAATGAATGTGCGGCATGGAACTGCTGCTGACCCCCCAGGTGCATACATTCATGATACTTCATCTGCGCCCCCCCTTCCAAATTTCGCACCCCCATAATTTGGGTATTAACCCATGGGGGTAGGTGGCCTCCCATAATTTGGCAAACTTAGATTTCAGGGGGGGGCTCAAAAGCGTCGTGCTATTTCGTAAGATTCCCCAGGAAAACTCCATGAGCATCAAACATCCATGGCCTTGCAAAATCATTGTATGAAACCGCCTCCCCACCTTTTTCTAAACAAGCTTTTGAAGCCAAATACTGAAAATGTATGAGGACCACCCCCCACCTCTTTAGGTAACCTCTTAATTTTACCAAAAAAAAAAGTTCATACACAAATGCCCGTTTCAGAGTGGGGGGGCCCTGGAAATGTATGAAAAATTCCCTAGTACCCCCCTCTTCATACATTTTAAGGGGTGGGGGATCCACCCAGGTAGATTTAGCGTCATTAATAATCCAAGTTTGATTGAGCTGGCATGAGCTGTTTGACGAAACATTGCCAAATTAAGTCGAGGTGGCCCCACTCTCATTCTCAAGCATTCAGATTAAAATTATGTTGGATACCCCTAAGCCTCGAATAATAGAATTCTCGAAAAAAAACAACCCAAATCAAAAGTAATTGAAACAATAATTGGATATATAACCAACGGTCCACTTGGATTAATTTCTTAAGGTAGGGGTTATGTAAAAAGTATGGGCCTCATCCAAGATTGTAATTTTTGATGGGGTTGAGAGCCTCAACTGTGGATCTAAGTCACAAAGAATTCTATCAAGTCCACGGCCAAATTGATCGAAGCTCCGGCAAGCTTGTAATGTCATGCTCTGATGAAGCATAGGGCACAAGAGTTGTATCCGAGCAACATGTAATCTTCGGCTTTGAGTGGTAAAACATCTGAACCAAAAAAGAGGTAGAGAGTTACAGAGGGACGGCCCTGGCAGGATTTGAGCCCGTGACCATCTGCTTCCGAGACTGCTTCAAAATGCCCCGGGAGCTTTGGGGGGGGTTCGAGTGAAAAAATCATCACTGTGTTGGACTCAGACCTGCCCCTCCCCTTGCTGAAGCAAGAGCAACTCCAGCTCGCTACCGCTAGCTTTCGTGATTTGAGCCAATTCTCAAGACGCAGCATTCGCCGGAGGTTGTGTGCAAGGCGACTGCACCAGGAAGGGAGACAAGGGGTATCCCACGACCCGACCCGTATTGTCAAACCGACAGAGGAGTTTGGACAAGGTGTGACGCAGAGACTTGATCAAAGGGGTATTATCATTCCAGGGGACATTACGATGATTCATCATGATCCGACCGCCATTTGGTCAAAGCCACCTGCAAATTTTGAGCAGCAACGAACTGCAAGTCAGACCGATGACCCCACAAAAAGAATTTTCGGGGATCAGTGGACGAGTGCAGGTGGGTGTACGGATGACGGATAGCAACCTTGTACGCCCGATCCAGCATGACATTACCAGGAGAGAGGCCATTGAGAACCCAACCCCAGGACGCTTTACTGGTCAAGACGAGAGAAACGAGCAGAAAACGAAATTTACGAGTGACAGGAAGCACACCGATACGGCGAGCAATTTTGGCCAGACCATCAGCACGTTTAGTCTCATTGAGAGTATAAGACCGGGGAAACATACCGAGAGAGACCGCAAGCACAGTCCCAACCCGAAGAGCCTCCCACCCGTGTTGTTTGAGCGTTTCGTACGCATCCCAAGAGCGCGCAATGGGCTGGGTTTTATGAGCGTTAGTGCACATGCGCGTGACATGTTCCAGCCAGCCGTCGCCAGAGATGGAGTGCGTGTGTGAGATCCTGCATGTTGCGCGCCAAGATTGTGCGGTCGTCGATGTACAACAAATTCTAGCACACGGGACGTGGCGAGCTTGGTACCGTTGGACAATTGACAAGACCAAAGACAGCGCAATTGGGGGCCAACTGTTAACTTGTATTGTCACAAAGGAGCCTGCCGCATCAAACACGAAACGGAGCTTTTGCACGTATATCAACGCAATCGCGTAGCTAAATATCATTCGGAGAATATTCTGAATGGTTTCGACAACTGCCGGGTTCGGTTGAGTTTGCGTCAGCAGTCTGTGAGAATGTGGAAGTGCGCATGTGCCAGAAAACCGAAAGCACATCATTTTTTGAAAAAGAAAAGACTTACATTGTAAGACTTCCATTTTTGAAAACTGGGGCTTTCCAACTGCTTCAAGCGATGGCCTTCACCCTCAAAGTCTACGATCTCGGGCAAGACTTCAGCACACTTCTTATCGCCAGATTCTGCAATGCCCTGCGCCAATGCAGCCTTGACCATAGATTTGAGCCTTGGCTCTTTGAATCTTCGCCTAATCTTCGCGATATTTGCCGAATCCAAACAGCACAGGCCCAATCACTCAACAGAACTGCTTTCCCCTGGTGCCCTCGAGCGACCTCCGGGGAAGTGGGCCTGAGATGGCCTCAGGACTCTTAGAGACTCTTCTCTTCCAATTTGGTTTTCGATAGTTACTTAATATTAAAATATATACATATATGATATATTATATAAATACATATATATATATATATTTTATATCAGAATGGTACACATCCCTGGAATCTATTCGAATCCACTCGAGAAGATGATTTTGTTCTGTTTATTGGTCTGTTGTGCTGAGCGGCTCTTTGGCCTCTGGCGAGTTGAAGGTCTTGATGTAAAAGTCTGTGATTTTGGCTGCTTCCAGCAGTGGTGCAACACCTTCATCTCTACGGATCCGGTTGGCATGCTTGAGGTAGCCTGAAAGCAGCTGTAAGCCAGCCATTCCGAATCCATTCCCCCCTTCTCAACAGTTCTAAGCTGTCTATTCAACATGAGTCAAGAATGAACTTATCGAAGGAAGTTTAGAAGTCAAACTTCCGACAATATGTCAATATGGACAGATGAAAAGCAGAGATGGGAAGAGTCAGAGAGAAGAGAAGAGCATTGCCCGTAGAATTAATCTATGGTACACCGGGCGCCCATCACTGAATCACGCACTGATCTTGTTCGCTTCATCATGGAGCAATTTGAGGCAGCAATGCTTCTCGCTGGGGTCATCCGACGCAGGGTTCCCTTGCCCATCTCTGTTCTTGATCACGTCAGCCAGGATAGGACCAAGAAGCTTTCGTTCATCCTCAACCTTCTCCATGGGAAGGCGCAGGGCCAGAGTCATGATCTGTTCGGCCGGAGGAGGAGGAGGAGGAGGAGGAGGACCACACTGGACCACACACTGGATCACATATGCTTTTGGCAGCCCACACTGGACCACACACTGGATCACATATGCTTTTGGCAGCCGCCTTGAAAATCAAAAAATGCAATTTTACACTGTAAAATGTATGATTTTGCCAGTTTTTGCAAGTTTTTGCCAATTTTTGCTATGTTTTGAAGGTCCAAAATGCCAAAAAACGTGTGTTTCTCCAATTTTGGACGTTTTTGGACAAAAAATGTATCAAAATCTTCTCTTCAGACAGCTGACCTTCGAAAAAAAACATACATTCTACAGTGTAAAATGTATGTTTTTGACTCTGGGGCTCCAAAACTCAAATTTCTGTCCAAAATTAAAAAAAACATACATTTTACAGTGTATAATGTATTTTTTTGGAAATTTTGGACGTTCAGAACATAGCAAAAACCGAAATTTCATTCCAAAATTGGAAAAACAGACATTTTACGGTGTAAAATGTGTGTTTTTTGGCATTTTGGACCTTCAAAGCATAGCAAAAATTGGCAAAAACTTGCAAAAACTGGCAAAATCATACATTTTACAGTGTAAAATTGCATTTTTTGATTTTCAAGGCGGCTGCCAAAAGCATATGTGATCCAGTGTGTGGTCCAGTGTGGGCTGCCAAAAGCATATGTGATCCAGTGTGTGGTCCAGTGTGGTCCTCCTCCTCCTCCTCCTCCGCCTCCTCCGGCCGAACAGATCATGACTCTGGCCCTGCGCCTTCCCATGGAGAAGGTTGAGGATGAACGAAAGCTTCTTGGTCCTATCCTGGCTGACGTGATCAAGAACAGAGATGGGCAAGGGAACCCTGCGTCGGATGACCCCAGCGAGAAGCATTGCTGCCTCAAATTGCTCCATGATGAAGCGAACAAGATCAGTGCGTGATTCAGTGATGGGCGCCCGGTGTACCATAGATTAATTCATGTTGTCATGTTCTTTTTCAGATGGATTCATGGGATATCCCAGTGAACTCAGTGAACATAGACATAGCCATATTCTTGGCAGGTGGTTCAAAGGGCATGAGTCTTTGACAAGTATCAGTATCATGCTTTGGCATCAGTACCAGCTACCAATACCAGATATTAGGTTACTCGGTATGTTTTCAATAACTGCACTCACTCTCACACCTTTTACACCTTTTCCTCATGGGTTCCCTCATTCAAAGCTCACTAAATTGACTTCTTGTATCGCCAAAGCTGGAATTTCATGCCCTACCTACACCTGGGCCAACAATCCCGACTGCAGGGCCTCCATGGCATCCATGGCATGGCAAGGAAGGCACAGCGAGACCGCTGGCAGATGGAAATTCAATAGTACCAGTTCAATTTTGGTTTCCCAGGTGGTTAGAACCATGTAGACCCCTAGGATGAAGTCTGCCATTTTGCACGCTGATGCTGCAGTAGTAGTAGATGGATTCTACTTTACTCAAGGTGCCGTGGTCCAAAACAAAACTGCTGCCGCTGGATAGTGGCAATGGTGGGTAGTATGTGGCTCACACCCTTCAACCAACATACCAGGAGGCAAACGGGTTCATTCCGCACCCTTCACCAAACATACCAGGAGAATCCAGGAGACATACACATCATCTATATACCTGTCCCAGGCCTGGTTTTTCAAACATACATTTTGAGCTACCTGACATACATTTTTGCCTACAGGGGCTGCGGCTAGATTGGATTTCCTAAAATTATCCTAATTAATTAGGATAATTAGGATAATTAGCCTCCCAGAGAGCCTTTGGAAAGCTAATTATCCCAATTATCCTAATTAATTAGGATAATTAAGATAATTAGCCTCCCAGAGAGCCTTTGGAAGGCAAATTATCCTAATTATCCTAATTATTGCTAAAGCCTCCAGGGTCCAGACCTTTGATTTTGTTAATTATCTTAATTATCCTAATTATTTAGTTACCCTACTTAATTAGGATAATTAGGATAATTTGCCTCCCGGAGAGCCTTTGGAAACCTAATTATCTTAATTATCTTAATTAATTAAGATAATTAGGATAATTAGCCTCCCAGAGAGCCTTTGGAATGCTAATTATCCTAATTATCCTTATTAATTAGGGCAATTAAGATCATTAGCCTCCCAGAGAGCTTTCGGAATGCTAATTATCCTAATTATCCTAGTTAATTAGATACGGGGATCTGTTGGTTTCGTCTATCAGACGACCAACAGTGAACCAACAACTACAGTAGTGGTAGACGCAGTGTGCAGAATTTTCCGTTCCCTCTCCTGAGGACTCTCCTGTGTCCGCCCCCTTTAATAAAACGGCGGACATGGGGGGTGTCAAAGGGAACTAGGTGACAGCATGTGTAACTTAGTGCATGCTCAGTTGAATCACCAATTGCCACGCCGGGCACGTGGCTCAAGACATATTGAAAGCGGAAAACATCAGAGTGCGCCTTGCTGTTTCATGCCGTCATTGCCGACTTAGCTGCACGTAACACAGGTTTCCTCCCTAAAGCATATCCGGAACAAGGATCCATTTGTTCACATATCTCACATCCATATGTGTCCCATGCAACTTGAGCTCCAGCTTGAACCAGAAGCGCCATCGGCACAATAGGCTGGCAGTGGTCCTTGGTGAAGATGGTTTTCTTATGTTTTCTTCTCGGGGTGCTGCCTGAGCTTGACAGTTCCTGTCGCTAAGTGGACCGTCACATCACAACTTTGGTTCCACTCATCAGTTGATGCCCTTCTCAGACAGTGTGTTGCTCCCCCGTCTATGAGCACTCGGTGATTCGTCTCCTCAGAGTAGACAACCTGCTTGACCATTGCCTTGACCGTTGGATCTCCATCCGGAGAAATTCTCATGCACTTCAGCAAGTTGGTCACCTCGTTGATCAAGCTGCCATCACCTGTGCTCGCCGTCCTCACACTTGCCTCACTCCTTTTATCATCATCAACATTCATCGAGGCAATGTTTGGATCAGCCTTCTCATCTTTCTCTCTTTTATCCTCCGCTGTCCCTTCACTTTTGCCCTTGTCCTTCCCTTTCTTGCCTCCTCCTTTCCCTTTCTTCTCCTGCTGGTTGTTCCGGTTGCCGTTGAACTGGCCCTTGTTGGATGAAGAGGTTGTCGAAGTTGAACCACCTCCTCCACTCCCCCCGACCTGGTGTTGGCCCTCTCTTGTAGGACGGTTCTTCTTGGCATGTGTTGTAGAACTGCACAGCCAGCACCTGGTCGACTTATCCTCCAGGGAGTCCAGATCGTGCAAAAACTTGCACGCTCGGCCACGTCGACAACCTTCAGTGGAACCCCACCATTTGCAAACCAACGTTTTGCCAGGAGGAGTTTGTTGTTGTGGAGGTCCTTTGCCATTGGGAAGCACCTGCATTTGCTTGGCAGCTGGACTCGCTTCCTGAGGGTTGGCCGTGATCATGAGCTCGGCCTCCGCAAGCAAGACCTCATACAGCTTGTTCACCACAACGTCGTTGGGATTCACATCGACCTCATACTGAAGCCTGAACGTGCCTGAAGCTGGCTTGCTGGGACTTGTTGAGCAACAGCTCCATCGTTCTGTCCAGCGCCTTGATCATCAGAGTTGAGTCTGGGAGAGACGCTCCCAACTCGCTAGCCCTGTTGCGGTGCCTTTTCCACAACCTCAACGACTCTACGGCATCCTTCGCAGTAGTAGAAGAGAAAAGATCAGAGAAGAGAAAGAGTCAGAAGAAAGAAGCTGCAGATGGCGAAAAGGTAGGAAAGTCGCGAAACACTATGTTTTTCCAATGATTTGTGGCTCCGGAGGGTCGAAAAGTAGGCTCGCTAAAGCGGCGGGTGCGGAGCCATCTGGCCAGATGAGAGGTGAAAAATTGCACGCCGTTGTGGCGCGAAGCACATTTGCAAGTGAAAAAGCTAAAAACACCGCACATTCGGAGCACTTTTTGAAGTTGAGATGTCGAAAAAGTGTACGGCGTTGTGGCGCGAAGCACATTTCGAAGTCAAAATGTACAAAGCACACCATGCTCGGACCACTTTTTCCCGAGAGCGTCTGAGCGAAGGGTTCTTCTAATAGTGGGGGTCTGTCAAACATTTTCACATCTTCACATGTTCTTATCCTCACATCCTCACATCTTCTCTTCTTCTCATCTTCACATCCTCACATCTTCACACCTTCTCATCTTTACATCCTCACATCTTCACATCTTCTCATCTTCTCATCTTCACATCTTCACATCTTCTCATCTTCACATCCTCACATCTTCACATCTTCTCATCTTTACATCCTCACATCTTCACATCTTCTCATCTTCTCATCTTCTCATCTTCACATCTTCACACCTTCTCATCTTCTCATCTTCACATCTTCACATCTTCTCATCTTCACATCCTCACATCTTCACATCTTCTCATCTTTACATCCTCACATCTTCACATCTTCTCATCTTCTCACCTTCTCATCTTCACATCTTCGCATCTTCACATCCTCACATCTTCACATTCTCTCTTGCCCTCTTGCTCTCTTGCCCTCTTGCTCTCTCTTTCTTTTCTATTTCTCTCTTGAAGGCGCGGGGCAGTGCCAACGAGAC